GGAGCTAGTTATGAAGGAAGTTGAGGTACTTTGCCAAAATAAGAGCCCCATCTCATCTAATTCATTATAAGAAAGTAGGTATGTTCAGTTAATGGCCAGGTATTCAGGATTAGAGGGGTCCCTGAAGCGAGAGACCAGTCTAATGTCTTTGGACTATTAAACTGTTCTTCCACTTTTTATTTTTATTTAAAAAAACCTTCTCTCCCCTTACCTGTCATATGCAGGTGTAGAAAATTAGATGGATTTATTAACGAACTTCTTCTATCTTGTACACAACATTAAACTTGTGCTGGGGTAAGTTGCTCAGACTATGTAGTTGGACACCCATGCAAATTTTGTGAAGAGGTGCTTTTAAAACTCCTTGTCTTTGGCAGCTCCCCTGGAAATTGATCCCACTTAAATATCTGTAAAATCTATTTGTTTACTTAGGTTAAACACATTTCTCAACTAACCAGCCAATCTATGGGAGATGCTAATCACTCAGGTCCATTCCTACAGGCCAGAGGAGCAGTAAAGTACCTGAATTCTCCTACCTATAAGGAGCTGTTTTCTCTTCAATAGGAATGTCTTAAACTAGCAGCTGTATGTTTGCACACGGAAAACTGTGTGTATTTGGAGAGAGATATGTAACACATAGCTGAGATTTTTTTAAAATTATTTTGATAAAAAGACTTGAATTCCAAGCAGAGTCCAGATGATGAGGGGGAGAGAGGAGAGCATAAATAGTGCTCTAGTTTGGCTCCATTTTAGGGACATTGATGTTTACATGCTTGGGACTTTGTAAGGAAGGGACAGGAAAGAAGTGAAGGAGATGTAAAGATACTGATGCAGATCCTCTGCTATTACATTGCTTCACTTGGTATAGCTGCATATCATCGTGCATATCAAAACGATCCATCCTCGGCGGCAAAGAAGACCGCCTTTATTCGCAGAACAGTACAGAACCGATTGCGCAAAATGCGGGACTTGTGGCTGAGCGCCAAAGCAGATGAAATACAGGCATATGCGGACAGGAATGACTATAGGCAGTTTTATGAAGCCCTTAACACACTCTATGGTCCACAGTCTTCTGGGAGCTTTCCCCTCCTGAATTCTGATGGTACTGTGCTCCTTACAGAGAAGACGCAGATTCTCCAGAGATGGGCTGAACACTTTGAAGCAATTCTCAATCCCCCTCGGTCATCAATGATGAGGCCATTGACAAGATGCCCCAGTTTGCAGTCAATGACTCCATGGATGCTTCACCAAGAGGACAAAGTGAAGAAAGCTATCAGTCAGCTGTCAAGTGGCAAAGCCCTAGGGTCAGATGCCATACCAGCAGAGGTGTACAGAGTCGGTGGACCCGTGCTGTTACGGAAACTCACTGAGCTGTTTCAGTCCTTCTGGAAGCAGGGAACCATTCCACAAGAATTTAGAGATGCGTCCATCTTGCACCTCTATAAGAGGAAGGGCAATCGCCAGGTATGCGACAATCACCGTGGAATCTCGCTGCTTTCTACAGCGGGGAAAGTTCTTGCACGGGTTCTGTTGAACCGATTGATCACTCACCTGGAGAAGGGCTTACTGCCAGAATCACAGTGTGGCTTCCGCTAGGGACGTGGGACTATTGACATGATCTTCGCTGTGCGTCAGCTACAGGAGAAATGTCAAGAGCAGAATCGTGAACTCTACACAACTTTTGTGGACCTCACGAAAGCATTTGACTCTGTCAGTCGCCAGGGCCTGTGGAGGATCATGTCGAAATTTGGCTGTCCAGACAGATTTATACGAATGGTACGTCAATTTCATCACGGTATGATGGCTCGTGTCATGGATGACGGTGAAACATCTAAGGCCTTCCCAGTCACCAACTGCGTCAAGCAAGGGTGTGTTTTAGCACCCACTTTGTTCAGCATGATATTATCTGCCACTTTGACTGATGCCTTTCAACACTGCACTGAAGGAGTAGGCCTGAAGTATAGAACTGATGGGAAACTACTCAATCTGAAGCGACTACGTGCCATCACCAAGGTGAAGGAAACTGTACTTTGAGACTTTCTCTTTGCCGATGATTGTGCTCTGAATGCTAGTACAGAGCCAGAAATGCAAGCCAGTATGGACAAGTTTTCAATGCATGCAATAACTTCGGTCTCACTATTAACATCAAGACGACTGAGGTCATGCACCAGCCAGCTCCCCACGCTCCGTACTCAGAACCGTCCATCACTGTAAATGGACAGAGACTTCAGATAGTGGACCACTTCACGTACCTGGGCAGTACCCTTTCCCGAGCAGTGTCAATCGATGATGAAGTAAACTGCAGAATTGCTAAAGCCAGCTCTGCATTTGGCCGATTGCGCTTCAATGTTTGGGAACGTTGAGGGATCAGCCTACCAACAAAGCTGAAGGTCTACCGATCAGTGGTGCCTCCAACTCTGCTGTACGCCTGCGAGACATGGACTGTCTATCGGAGTCATGCACGAAGACTCAATCACTTCCACATTTCCTGTCTGCGAAAGCTTCTAAAAATCAGATGGCAGGACAAAGTGCCCGATACTGATGTCCTTACTAGAGCCAGTCTGCCATCAGTTCACACATTGCTGATGAGAGCCCAGACCAGGTGGGCCGGACATGTTGTGAGAATGTCAGATGAACGCATTCCTAAACAGCTCTTCTACGGAGAACTCACTCAGGGAAAGCGCTCCCATGGAGGATAAAAGAAGTGGTTCAAGGACACGCTGAAGACCTCTTTGAAGTCCTTCGAGATCAACACCGCCACATGGGAAACCTTCGCACTGAACCGTTCAGCATGGCACAGCCTCATTCACACAGGCAGTAGTACCTCTAAGGCGAGGCGTATTGCTGAGGCTGAAAAAAAGCGTGAGCTGCGCAAGTCCAGAGCTGCTCGTACATCATCGACAATGCCATTACATGTCTGCCCGACATGTGACAGGACGTTCCACGCCCGAATCGGACTGATCAGTCATCTTCGAACGCACAAAGCCCGGTCATCGAAAGAATGAGTTGTTGAGGTCTTCATCGATAACGATGGACGAACATCATAGCTGAGGTTGGAGGGAAAGAACATAAGGCTGACTTTAAATCATATTTACACTCCCCCCTACAACAGCTATTTAAATCCAAAATATCATTAAACAAATATCAAGCAAAGAGTTTGTCTTAGAAATAAGGTATCACAAATATAAGTTCATGAATAAGATTAGCTGTATAATTCCTCCAGCACAAGAAGTTGCACCTGCCCACGTAATGTTGTTACATGCCTTGATTTTCAGACTTATTTTTGACTTTGTTCTGCACAGAAAAAAAAAACAACTAAACTTAATGTGGGTCAGAAGTCTTGTGTAGCTGATCATAAATCACCTGGCCCCTTTGTTCGTGCAACACGTATCCTTTATGTGGTGTCTAATATCCTCCCCCCGCTCCCCATTAGGTTTGTCTATAAGAAGGAGAAATGTACTTCAATGACAGGAAAAGGTTGATATGCTGCAGTATACATAAGAACAGAAGAGCTGCCATACTGCTTCAGACCATGGTCTAGCTAACCCACTCTCCTGTCTAACAGTTGTGCACCGCACAGCTCCTGCGGGAGTGTACAGAAAAGAGCCCTTATGGAGTAATCCACCCCTGTCTTCCAGCCCCAGCTTCTTGTAGGGAGAGGTTTCAGGTAGTGCAGCCCATGTTTGGGGCAATCTTGGCTAACAGCCAAGGCTGGACCTATGTTCCATGAACTTATCCAGTTCTTTTTTTAAACTGGTTGTACTTTTGGCCTCAACCAGTGCATGCATGGTAATGAGTTCCACAGGTTCCTTGTGCAGTGTGTGGAAAGTGTACTTCCTCTTCTTTGTACTAAACTTGCTGCCTAATTAATTACAGGGGCGGAGCCCTGTCTTGTGTATTGTGGGAGAAGGTAACTGTATGACTGCACCACCACAATGGCGTGCTGGCCTTTACAAATCAGCCCATTTCACAGCTGTTAAGCCTTAGAAGGGGTTGCCTGCTGAGGGTGAGCATGCCCCCACAGGCGGGGCAATGTCTTTCCCCCGTTTCCCACTGATAAACTTAGCTAGCAGACCAGTCCAGGGGGTGATATTTTTGGGGTGGGTGGGTAAGATCTGGCTCCCTGGCTAGGGGGATCCACGATCATGCCCCTGAGGCAGGGGTGGGCAAACTATGGCCTGCAGGCTGGCTCCGGTACCTGGAGGAGGGGGGCAGAGGTCTCCGTGTGCTGCCCTCACCTCCAGGCACTGCCCCTCTGCAGCTCCCATTGGCTGGGAACAGGGAACCGCGGCCAATGGGAGCTGCGGGGGAGGTACCCACAGGTGAGGGCAGCACCCAGAGCCCTCTGCCCACTTCTCCCCCCCCCCCACAGGGGCTGCAGGAACGAGGTGCCGGCTGCTTCTGGGAGCAGTGTGGGGCCAGGGCAGGCAGGAAGCCTGCCTTGGCGCACGCTGCTGCCACCCTGGACCTGCTCCAGGAAAGCCGGGCCAGACTCTGCACCCCGAGCCCCTCCTGCACCCCAACCCCCTGCCCTGAGCCCCCGCTACACCCCACACCACTTCTGCACCCCAACCTCCTTCCCTGAGCCCCCTCATACACTCCACATCCCTCCTCCGCCCCAACCCCTTACTGCACCCCACACTGTTGCTGCAGCCCAATCCCCTTTCCTGAGCACCCTCATAAACCCCACATCCGTCCTCTGCCCCAACCCTTTACCTTGAGCCCCTTCCTGCACACCGTGCCCCTTCCTGCACACCGTACCCCCTCCCACACCCAAACACCCTGCCCCAGCCCTACATTCAGGGCCCTGCATGCAATTTCCCCACCCAGATGTGGCCCTCGGGCCAAAAAGTTTGCCCACCCCTGCCCTGAGGGCTGCTGGCCCTTACTGGGATCCTGATGCCCCAGCGAGGTTCCATGTGCAGCGCAGCAGGAGACGCCGGGTGCCCGTTACTGGGCTGGGCGAGAAGCGGGGCCGCTGCCCTCACCCAAGATGGCGGCCGGGGCTGACGCGGGCGGGTCGGTCACCTGTTGAGGTGGAGGCAGCGCGGCACCTCATTGGCTCCGGCTGCCCCGGGCCGCGGTGCCTGCGCGGCGGGGAAGGGGTTAACGCCGGGGCCGCGGGCGGCGCCACCTGAGGAGGAGCCAGCAGCGCCGCCCGGCTGGGCCGGGACAGGGGCTCCGCGACCGCCCCATGGAGAGCGGGGGCGCTGGCTGCAGCCGCTTGCCCGGCCCGGCAGGCAGCGAGCGGGAGCCGCAGCCCGGGGAGGAGGCGCCGCCGCCGGAGGCCGAGTCCGACTGGAGCTTTATCGACTGCGAGATGGAGGCGGTGGCGCTGCAGGACCTGCCCACCGCCACCATCGCCTGCAACCTGGACCCGCGCCTCTTCCAGGACAGCCTGTGCCGGGTGAGCGCGGGCCGGGGGCCGCTGGGCGGGCGGGCCGGGCCCCGGGGCGCTGCAGCGAGTCCGGCCGCCGCCCCGGTCACTTTGTGGCCTTTCCCTTCCCTGCCGTCGGAGCCGGGCGCTAGGCGCCGCACAGGGTCCCCGCTAGCCGGGCTGTCAGAGGGAGAGCTCGCCGCGGCTGCAGCGCCCCGCCCCGGGGAGACCCGGACAAAAGCTGGCCGAGCCCCGGAGGTGCCCCTCGCTCCCTGCCTGCCAGACCGCTTGTGCTTGGACACCGGCAGGGGGCTGCAGCACAGCGGGGGGCGGCCTGAGCCTGCTGCTCTTGTGGCGCCTCGCTGGCGGGCTGGGGCTCATCGGGCATGGGGCGGTTGGGCGGCCGTTGGGAAGACCGTTGGTGAGGAACCGGTCAGCCGGCGGGGGCCGGGCGTCTGGCTGGAGCGTGACGGCCGCTGGCCGATTAGGAGCCCTTGGCGCCCAGTAGATGAAGCATTTGCAGCACTTGCCTGACTCCGGGCCCCCAGCCAAGCGCTGTTTGAGAGCAAAGGCGGGTGGCCCCCTGGGGGAGAGCCTTCCACAGACTTCCTGTTCGTTTGTTGCAACTGACTTGCTTTAAACAAATGGCAGTTGTTGGTTGTGACCAGTGATAGGTTATATTTTAACCTATGCGACCTTAAGAGGGATAATTCTGAAATTTGAACAAACGTATGAAGATAATGATTTTGATTTTTTTTTAAATAGTTACTTCTATGAGTGAAGATAGCGTGTGCTTAGGTGTCTTCAGGTTTGAGACGAGGGTCCCTAACCTGAGGATTTAGTTCTAAAGAAATAATTACAAGCAGACATTGACATCTTAATATACTAAGCTCAGACCCTGCAAATACTCAGGGGTTCTTTACACTTAAAATTCTGCAGTGGTGCTGCTGTAGCAGTGAAGGCGAGACCTGCTCAGGTGGGAGGGCTCCTCCTGTTGGTCTAGATACTCCACCTCCCCAAGAAGTGGTAGCTTTGTCCATGGGAGAAGCGCTCCAGTCAACATAGCACTGTCTACACTAGGAGTTAGGTCGGTATAACTCTGTTGCTTGGGAACGTGGATTTTCTATCCCCCTGAGCGACGCAGTTCTACCACCATAAGTTTCTAGCATAGACTGAGCCTTACAGGCTTTACTTCACTTGTTTGAGTAGTCTCTTTGAAGTTGATGGGACTACTTACACGAGTAAACTTAAGCGAGTGAGTACATGTTTGCAGGATCAGGGCCTTCTGTTGTAAACGGATCTCTTTGCCTATGTTACTAGTAATGCTTGGATTATTAAAAGTGTAGAAAAAGATGGAAATCAGTTGTTTCATTTCACTTTTACAATCTTATTACTTGCAATGTCTACCTTTCAAACACTGCAAGGGATTGTTTAGTTTTTAAATCAACTGTTTTTGCTGGATTTAAAACTCGAGGAAATATTTGTACTGGTTTTTAGCTTTTGCAAAAGCATGTTTTTATAATATTCAGATTTAGGGGCCAAATATGACAGTGTCTTTTTTTTTTTTAAGTACAGCTACTGGTTGTCATGGCAGTAGACCAGTAGTAAGTCTCTGAGCTCCCAGATAATTACAGTTCATTAAAGATGAGAGACTACATTTTTAAAAACTGGCAACAGTATTAACTGCTGATTTCAATGTTTATGTTTAAGGTTGTATTCACTTTAAAAGACTATGTAGTTAAATAAAGTTTTAACTTTTCATGCATCTCTTAGGGCCTAGTATCCTGTTAATGTGTGTCACTGCCACTGATAAGTTATGCATGTATCAGAGGAAAAATAGACTTCTTAGTGTAATACTCTTTTCAAGACTTAGGAAAACTAAGCGCTGTAGGCATGTTGCCAGCCTGTATTATAAGTGTTATGTAGATGAACATGAGATTTAAATATGAGAATGAAGACTAGGTTTCAATCTTGCCTATACAGGGACCAGTAGCCATTAAAAACATCTGGAATTTACTATCTTAGTTAATGCAATAATAGAGAGGATGAAGAGAACACTTTTTTTCCCTATTGAAGTACAATTTTTATAGAGCAAAATGTCGGATTGTGAGGGAGCATTAAATTTAAGAAACACATTTTAATGTAGCGTGTCAACCAAACAATGCCTTATAAAATGGTATGAATGTTACACAATGCCCCTGAAGAAAGAAATGAAGAACTTCACTCACTTTTAGGCCATGTCTACCCTACAAACTTATATTGACTCAAGTTACATCAGCATATCGCTGCTACTGCTAAGACATAGCTTGTGTGTGTGCATACTTGACTCCTTGTGGCAGCGGTGTGTGTACTCACAGTAATGCCAGTAATGCTTGTATCGGTGCAGTGTGTGATGCACCAGAGGTAGGTATCCCACTGTGCAACTCACCACCATCCAGCACACTGTATTTTGAGAACTTCTGGCACTGTGTGAGGGGGCCAAAACTAGTCAAGCAGGGGTGTCTGGGAGCATGGGGTCAACTTCTTATTTGCAACTGTCTCCATCCCATGGTGTTATCTGTATCCCATAATTTTCATGCTTTTTTTTCCCCCTTCAAAATCCCACAAACCTGCGTGACCCTCCTCGCTGTCTGACATCATAGAGCTTGCAAAGCTCTGCACTATTGGGAGCATTACAAGCACAGAGTGCATAATCTTGGAATATTTGGAGAGCTTCAAAAAGAACCAAATGAGCGGGGAACTTGATTGTTCCTTGGAGGATGAATTGCTGTGGGACGTAGCAAGAACCAATTCAAGGTTGGAGGTGGTGTTCATGGAACAGCTGCATATGGTGGCGTGGCACTTCTGAGCCTGAGAAACAAGCACCGACTGGTGGGATCGCGTTGTAATGCAGATTTGGGGTGAGAAGTAGTGGCTGCAGAACTTTCAGATATGCAAAGCCACATTCCTGGATCTGTGCAGTAAGCTCACCTCCAGTGCAGGGACATTCAAATGTCCTCCAGTGTATGGACGCCAAAAAGAACCGCACTGACAGCGGAGAAGTGAATGGTAATCACATTGTGGAAACTTGCAATGCCAGATTGCTACCAGTCAGTTGGGACTCAATTTGTAGTCCAGAAATCCACCGGGGAGGCCTTTGTGATGCAAGCATGCAGGGTCATTAATTGCCTCCTGTTACGCAGGACTGTGCCTCTCAGCAATGTACTAGACATAGTGGATGGACTTGCAGCAGTGGGGTGCCTGAGCTGCGATGGAGTGCAAGATGGCACGCATATCCCTATTTTGGCACCTTGCCATTGAGTACATCCACAGAAAGGGCTACTTTTCTATGGTTATGTAAGCATTGGTAGATCACCAGGGATGCTTCACTGACCTCAGTGTGGGCTGGTCAGAATGGGAGTGCATGATGCTCGCATCTTTATAAATACAGGACTCTTCAGAAAGCTGCAAGCAGGGACTTTCTTTCTCAATTGGTGGATTAATAGTAATTTTGGGTGATCCAGCCTACCCCTTGCTCATGAAGCTGTACACCAGCTACCTTGACAGCACCAAGGAATGATTCAGTTGTGACGAAGTGTGGCATTTTCTTAAGGTTTTGAATGAATACTCCGTGCCTCAGTTTCCCCTATGTGTTGCACGATTAACTACGTGGTGAGACGGTGTTTGATTTTTGCAGAGACTCCTAGAGGAGCAGGTGTGATTGTCTAGCTGCCTGGGCCCAGACAATGGCTAGACATTTTTTAACTTAGAAACTGATGGCTGGGGGGGCCCATCCTCTGCAAGAAGCCAGACGGCTGCGATGAGTTGAAGAACAAAGGGGTAGAGGCCAGGTGACCAGTTTTTCCTGGGAAACACAACAAAGGACAGAGGAGGGGCAAATGGGCGTGACTGAGTGTGGCTGCTGGAAACAGGACAGTCTCCCGTTTGTGGCTTTTGGGGAGGCAACCCAGGCTTGGGTCCCAACCAAGATGAACTTTGCTGGGACTCCCTGCTTTCTGTGCTAACAAAGAACTTTTACACTGTGTTCCAGACAACTAATAAACCCTTCTCTTTTACAATTCTGTCTGAGAGTTACTACTGATTGCCGAAGTTGGGGGTGCATGGCCCCTTTGGGTGTATAAAGCTTCCCCAGGTGTCCCGTTCAGGTGACCCTACTGTGGGGAGCTCATGGTGTGGAACGGGGGTGCTGAAAGCTCTGGTGGTGCTAAAGCTGAGGAGATTTTCCCTAGTGAGTGTGCACCCTGAGGAAGTGCCACACTGAAGAGGGTCCTGCCTAAGACTAATTCAGAGCTGTTCTGGAGCACTGAGTCTGTGTGCCCATGACATCAACTACTGGCTGAGCAGGTGCAGAATGACAGTTGAATGTGCTTTTGATTGATTCAAGTCAGCGGCACTGCTATGGGTACCCGCATGGCCCCACAATATGCCAACATTTTTATGGCTGACTTAGAACAACGCTTCCTTAGCTCTCATCCCCTAACGCCCCTACTCTACTTGCGCTACACTCATGACAACTG